CAGCAGGAAAAATAGACAAAGTTTTAAACAGGTCATAGAGACCTGCTCTAAGATGGATAGTTTGTTTATTTGCAAGCAAGTGAAACCAGCAGCTAAACAAGCAAAAGAAAAGAACACATGAAGGACAAGTAAACACTGCTGAACACCAGCTCCACCACCTTTGCTATTCATTATCCTTACTCAGAATAGTATTTATTCACTGACAATTAGGATCTCTGGGTTTTCAATACAAGTCTGTATCTAATACTGCATGTTCAAACTAACATATTAGTAAACTACGTAAGTTGGTTGGCCTTTGAGTGTTTGGGAAAGGAGGAGCTTTCCTGATGTTACATTAAAAGTTTATTCCAATTTAATCACATAAAAAGCAGAGCAAACAAACTGATGCTTTTCAGCAGCACAGTTTAGTGAGCTGGGTGTCACCCTGAAATCTAAGGAAGTGGGTACACAACGTTCTTTCTTTCATTTACCCACCAGAACGCAACCCTGCTAGGGGTTATATCTTTGGCTAATAAAACCATTTATTCTATCCTCATAGCTACTGTACTGGCTCATGAATTAGTCTCTTGCAGGCTTCTTTCAGGCCCATTAGGTGCATTTCCAAGTGTGGATGAACACTGCTGTCACCACCTCACCTCCCTACAGCACAACAGCCCTGAGAGCCAACTTGTCAACACCTGTTTAGACATGGACCTTGGGTTCAGAATACTGAAAAAGTGCCTCACAGCTCAGCAGTCCAGTCCCACCCCCAGTGACAAGTACTGAAGTCATATACCTGTCTCTGCAAACCAGCCAAGCTGCATCTCCAAACAGCTAAGCCTTTTGCATCCACCCAACCAATGTACAGGCTACTGCAGAAATCAGCTAGTTAGTCACCCTTCTGTAGTTCGCAGCCACAACCTAGTCATAGTCAATTTACGCCTCTTTGTTCTCTAATAAAAAACCCCATAAATGTAAATAGTTCTCCTTTCCTGGAGATTTATGGAAGGCTATATAACCCCCTCCTTAGCCCTCCTTTTCAGCCTTGCTAAAGACCCCAAGCTGCAGCTTTTCTTAGATAAAAGTGCTCCACTGACCCCACCAGCAGCTCTTCTCAACTACTGTACCAGTTCAAAGGCAGTTCCGAATATGGATATGCGAATTTTAAACTATTCCAGGTTACGTATCTAGTTTCTTCTACAGCGATAGTAACATTTTGCTATCTCTGCTGTTAAGCATCTCGTGTCTCATCCTAGAACTAATTACAGCCTCATGTATTGATGGCTCAATCACCTAAGATCAACTAAAACCTCGGGTCTTTCTCCTCCTCTGTCATTTTAACTACTGAGCTCAGTGTTATTAGTCACTAAGTGCACTTTGTACTATTAAATTCTATCTCATTTCTATAGCTTCAGTCACTTTCAAGGCAATCCAGTTCTTGTGAAATTCTGATCTTTCTCTTCAACGACAAGGCTAATGTCACATCCTCTGCAAATTTATTCAGCGCACCCTTACAAGGCATTAGTGCAAACAGTAATAACCAGCCCCAGAACAGGTTCTTAAAGAAGTCCATCTATGACCTCTTTTGTAATAGAGTCCAGCTCTCAATCACACTGTATTCCTTCCTTTAGCCAGGCCTTCATCTGCTCTTTACCAGATCTTGTTCTAATCCTAATTCTTTACAAATTAACTAGATTTATTGTAGTTCCAACATGGGAACCGCCTTACTAAAATGCAGAGGTATTAGACCTGGAGCAAGTCCTTAGTTGACCCTTTAATTAAAAATAAATATGTAAAAATCTCTAGGACAGCTATCCAACCTGCTATACTCCACCTTAGTCAAATCACAATGCATTCAATCCCGCTTTCCATGGTTTTAATTTTCCTTTCCTTCAAAACATAGCCCATAAATCTGTGTACCAAGTTCACATTATGGATTGCCAACATAACCTGACCTTCCCCATTTCCATTTGCAAGAGAAACTGCCATCAGTGCTACCCCAAATTAGCAATATAGCCCAAAACATTTGGTTTTAATTACTGTTTCTTTAAAACTCTGGAAGGACTACTTGCATAGCCTCTCATTATGAGCCCATGGAGCTTCAAGTTATGCCTTTTTTTTTTGGTCAGCTTGTACTTCCAGTCTACTCATTTTCCCTAAGCACGTGCTTTTCAAACCCTGTATTTGAGGCATAGCTGCTATTCCAACCTGTTTATGTGATCCCTGTAGTACTTGGTTTCAAATGCCTCCATTGTACATGGGAATAAAGACCCAGGGAATTACAACCATCTCAGTTGTTTGCTACTGACCAGTTTTCCTTTGCCAAGTTAGAACAGTGGGGGTGTTTTCAGCAGTACAGTGTTTTCTTGATCCCTGCTGTTTGCTAGGCTATCCCCTACATAGTACTCTATCAATTGCTGAATCCTTTATTTAATATTTGTCTTCCTCTGTATTATTGTGTATGGAAGCTACACAAATATTTTTCATCTTTCTCCTTCACTTCTCAAGTTAAAGTCAACAGATATGCCAACCTCAAACCAAGTCTATTAAGCCAAGAACTACTGTGATGGCATCTACATGTTGGGATTTTTCCTTTTTCTGAGGATCTTCCGAGTAGATCTGGGGCAGACATGACATCTGCAAGCTACTTCTGCTCTGATAGAGCCTCACTCATTCGTGTGTCTGATGTTAGAGCCTCAATCCAAATTATTCAGCTCGGTGAATATCTGCACCTTCACGCAGAGGTTTTTAATTCACTCTGGCTGTTGTTGGTCTATAAAATAGCGCAGTTGAGAACAGAAAATATCAGGTGTCCTGCTCCAAAAAGAACCCACCAGTCCCTATGAGGTCTGCAATAATCACCAGAAGCATCAGTCACTCCAATCCACCAGCAGGAAACCTGTTGAAGCATTTCTGTCAAACCACCAATAAATCTCCCACCTCTACAGCCACCTTGTTTCATGTTTGTATACAAAAAGTTTATTTTTGTTGGAATTATGCATGATTGATGTTGGGATAGAAGTAAGGAGATAGAAGAGTGCCCTAGCAACATGGTGAGCTAAGAAGGTTTTACAGAAATGCTGCAGAAGGACTGACAGTGCTTCACTTCCATAACATACCATGAAAGCGTTCCTGTTGTGTCTTTAATTAGTGATGTGTCAAGAAGAGACATGCCACTTAGCTTGGGGCAACTGCAAGCACCAGAATGGATACCTAATGTGGGGTGTGGCAAGCCAGGACAGCCAGATGAAGCTCAACTCTGCAGCATTCAATCAAAGCATCCACCCCCAGGGAGACTTAATTTCCCTGGGTTCTCGTCCAAGTACATCTCATGAGCCATAATCAGTAGACTAGATCTTATCACTTCTCCATACTGAAAATAACTTAGAATAACTCTCTAGACTTTGAGAAGAAGAGAGCCATTATTCCTGAATAATTCTTCTGCTTAGAAAGTACAGCAACTGTTCTTGAAGAAAGCCACTTATCCTGGAAGAGAGTGATTATAGCTTATTCCATAATAATATCTTGTAGAACTTCATGTATAAATAAGGCCTTGATGACAGATTATGTTCAAGAGAACAAGAGGGCTGTTTGAAGAGCACTGGCATTCTGTACTACTGAAATTGGTCCAATCTGAATTCCAACCAGATTTCACCAGAAGGCTGTACTGAATTAGTCACTATTACAACTGTATATATTTATTCTGATTCAAGGTAGTGGTTCTACACTGACCACATGACTCTCCTCAAGCACCACATGCCTGATCTCATGCACAACAGATGGAGTCCACATGCATGTGGTAAGATCACCAGCAGTGCTGCGAGCTTCTAGCTGCTAGCTTTTAAGTTACAAGGAACTTCAATGTGTGAAGCATAACAAAAGAATACCAAGGTAGTTTAGTACCAGGAAATAACTGAAGCAGAGAAATCCCTAAAGTGTTCCTGCAGCATTAAAGAAACACTGCTCCAAAAGAAGCACTTGCACAACACAATGGAGAAAAGGTTCTCAACAAAGTACGGTGCAGAGACTCCCCAAGAACACGGAAAGCAATCCATGTTTCGCTGCTCTGATGCTCAGTCATCATCTGTCTCATACCACATCTAAATTAGCTTGTGTTTAATTGCAAGTTTATAAAGGGACAGTTACACCCTTCATGGCATTGTATAAATGAGACCTAAAGTCTACACGTCACATCACTGGGCTTTCAAGTGAGGACCAAAACAATTCACTGGCTTGCTCATAATCATGGCAAAAATCTCGGCAGTTCATAGAATCTCATGCTTGAATACTGTAACAAGTATTTCATTAAGTCTAGGTCAGCAGCTTTCAACCTGGTTGGTGGACTCCAAGGGGTCCATGAAAGCCGAGGAAAGCAAGCATATCACTAACAGCTCAAATTTGCTGTTCTCATTGGAAAGTTTTAGAAATCCATAAATCCAGAGAGACTGAACGACACTGCACCAGACATACGTGAAATAAAGGATTCAGAAAGCCTAGAAAGACATGGGAAATAAAATGAGCTAATGAGATGCACTTCAAACAGCCTCAGAAGTTTATAATCAGCAAAACAAACATTGATCGTAAGAGACTCAGGTAAACACTGTGGCAGTCCAAAACAAGTATTAGGAGTTGGGTTCTTTGGGTCCCTCAAGCACAATGCCCCAGGCAGTGAAAAGCGATCTTACCCCCACTGCCCTAAGAACAGAACGGCCAAAGCAGTTATAACTCCATATAAAGCAATCACTTACTCTGGTCGGCAAATCACCAGGTCCCCTTTGTTGGTGCCATATGCCAATCCCAGGCCTGGCTCAGGCAGCCAGCGAGCAGAGTTTATGCTGACGTGTCTTCTCTGGTCGGCAGGCATTGGGTACAGAACGTTGAAAACTCTCTGAAACAATAACAGGAGGTTACTTGACAGTAACAAGTCAGGAGAGGCAAGGAGGCTCAAACAAATGTTCAATCTCCCTGCAGCAGCACAGCTGGCCAAGGAGACATGTCACTTCACAGGATGTTGCAAGAAACCACTAATCCAGCAGCAAGAATACTCAGCTACTAGAAATGCACATACATGTGCCCCTCAGTGTTTAATAGACTGACTGGCACGCAGCTGCAGAGCAGAGGAAATTCTGACCCCAGGAGAGTCTGTGCATCACTCAGTGGGCTGCACAGTCCTTCTATTCAAACTAATTAAACAAAGTGATGGGGACCAGTGGTATAGTCATTAGAAAGCAAGACAACTGGGACTCTTCTGGCTTTCACCTTTCATCTTAACTCACTAGGGTGGAACAGGAAACTGGCAAGTACATGGGCTTTCAGCATCAAAAGTTTATTGTTTCTATTAAGCAAACCAAACTTTATGCAAAAAGAATATACAGTTCTTTCCTTTTTTAAACATTTAAACAGCCTCCTGAAAATGTTTCAGTTTGACCAACCCCCACACCAACAACGCACAAAGGAAAATCAAAATCCAGAGATTATGAGAATAACACAAGTACGCAAGTAACAAATCCCTCAGTTCAGGTCCCCTTCCAATACCATCCATTTTACCTGCAGTAAGGTAGGAAGCTGAAGAGCTGCTAAGACTGCAGCTAGTTAGCACGGCTGCAAGCCAGTGCTTCCCAAATGATGCATTAATGCAGGTGAATGAAAACCCTGTGCACAAAGGACCAATAGCAAGCTCTGCTTTCTGGTCTGCACTGGCTTGGTTTCTGAAGCATATGTGCTTGAAAAGCAAGAACGATGAAGTGGAACAGATTATACCTATGCAGATACACTCCTTCTACTCCAAGGAGCTAATGTCTTTTGTACAGCACAATACTTTCCTGCACCCTGCCATCCAGCAACAAGAACTGGGTATACTGACAATGCTCCATTTATCCAGAAAATATGACACATGTAGATCATAAAAACAAAGGCATGGGAAGTGGAAAGTGGGGTAATGAATTAATGAACCGGTTTGGCTACCAGGAATAAACAGGAGCAAGCTGCTTCAGTGGACTGGGCCATCAGAGCACATTCCATCACGGCTTCAGAAGGGCAGGACTGAAGACTGCATTTACAAGTCCAAATCATTAACAGAATTTCTGCAGAAATTTACCTAAGATTTAAACCTGTAATCACTGCAGGTAACAGACTTCAAATCTAGATTTTTCAATGGGGTAAGTCCCAGGTGAAAGATACATTTTCATTAGATTTTCTGGTGGGCAACCATTGATCCATCACAAAACCTTTCTTCTAGACTCCTCAGAAAAGGGGATGGTGCTGGACCAGGATGTGGGGAAGGGAATGAGGATGTGCTGGAACACACAGGATACAGGATAAAGGTAGATGGCAATGCAGATCAACCACTACTGCACTGCTGAGGTGGCCTGAAGTAATAATTAGAATTCATTAGGGGGGGACTCATCAGCTAGCAAAGCAAACTGGGGCTCAGCACGACAGCGTACGTACCTGTTTTTCTCTGTAGCTCTACTGCCCACCCCACATCTTGTCTGGTTGACAATTTAACTTGAGAAGTCTGATGCAGAGACCACTTAACTGTATGCCCTCCAATAGCTAGTACCCAGAACCTTCATCTTGACCATCGTAACGCAAACAAAGTAAGTCAGAGCAAAACAACATAGCTACATTATTTCCCGTCATCAGTAACACATTTAACCTCTCCTCTGAGGAGGCCACATTAGAGCAGAAAACATCCTTGAGGACTTCTCTGTATGACAGAAGCTGGTCACTCTTTGCCCTGGCTATCACTCAAGCAGTTAGTGTATTCACAGAAGCTCGGTGTTTGGATGGAAGAAACAGGCCCTTAGGGGTTTATCTAGCTCTTACCCATCTCTATCATGTCTGCCCCATTCCCTTCCTGCCTTGCCTGCTCTGTGTGTATGGGGGGGGAGGGGGGAGTGGCAGGGGGAGAAAAAGAACAGGGGGGAAAGAAAAATCAGATGTACGATGGTAACACCTGTTACCATGGAGATTATGGTGCACTCTGAGATGGGGAGACTGGATTTTGAGGAGGAGGAGGAGGAGGAGGAGGAGGAGGAGGAGGAGGAGGAGGAGGAGGAGGAGGAGGAGGAGGAGGAGGAGGAGGAGGAAAGGGAGTGGTCTGCCAGAGCTGGGAGCATAAATTCATAAAATAAGCATTCCAAATCTCTCAAGAACTGCAAGGGTTTTCCACAATATCCTTCTCTGGCAAGTCAGAAACAAATGGTTTCTCTTCTCCTGAGAATGGCTTTGCAAGGTATCACAGCTAGACAAGCTGCCTCTCTGGGCTCGCCGCAAGCTCTCGTCCACTGCCAGGTCAGCTTGCACAGCCATTGTCCCACAGGCTCCGCAATCAGGCTTGTCAAGGGGGGAGACTTGCTAGCTACAGCTGAGCATCCAGGTGCTTTGCAGTAAATAGCACCCCATGGAAAGTGCTGCCAAGAACATGGGTCTGGTTCTGACAACCTGCAAAAATGTTGGCTGAGGGCAGAATCTCAAAGACGAGATGGCTTAAAAATTCCGCATAAGAATAGTTGCTTCATCACTTCACTCCACTCATTTCTAAACAGCTTGTCATGCCAAAGAGCTCCCCTGCCCTGCTGCTTCCCACTCCCACACTAATGGGACAACTCCATGCAGTGTTAAGGGTGATGACATCCGTGCGTGTGGTAATTAGTACATAAAAAGAGAAAGCAGTTGTACTGGCATAATCACCACTCGCAGCAGTAACCAGAACCCAGCTAATCAATCTGATGCAGTCATACAGACTGGCTGTTGCAATTGCATCCATTAGCAAGACCCCCTACTCTATCCACACAGTGGAAAAAAAATTAAAATTCCTTCAACATTGGCAGGTCCCTCTCAAGAAGAAGGTCAGAAGCCTGCCAGGAAGCATTATTCTCCACAGATCACAGCTAGTTCCTTTCAGATTTTTTTTTTTGTCTTTTTGTTTCCATTGCTAAATCTTATAAAAAGTTACTGAGATATTTCAACCAGAGTAGCCAGCCTGAAAACACACCACAGAGTGACCACACCTCTTTGCCAGTGGGATTGTAGTTCTGAACTTCTAGGAATAATAGTCAAGTTATTACAGGAATTCTACACTAACACGATTCTCCAGCTGCTAGGTCAAGAGGTTGCTGCCAACCCTCAAACACTCTTAAAACTAGCAATACAAATGCATAAAGTTGATAATTCACCAGTTCCCTTTCATTAGGGCTGGTCCACAGACTAGTTGCAGGCCACGTGTAACAGCCATGTTGATGGCCAAGGGTTCAGGAACCAGTTTAGAACCACTGTTGTAAAAGTCCACTAATGTTTAAGGTGCCCACCACACACTACTACAACCTCCAGAGAGTTTAGTTTTAATAGGGTGGCATTTTCATTTAGGACAGATATCATACTGCATCACACTTTATCAGCCCATAATCACTGCCAGCAGCCACAGAAAGCTTCCAGGCTCTTCATAACCAATGTCAAACTTGCTCTTAGCATCACTACACTACTAATTCAATAATATACAGCCACACCATTTGATGTGGCGATTCAGCATTTTATGAAGTTGGCAGTTGCATTTGTTTCCAGATGCTGTTCTGAAACAGAGTTTTGAATAGTTTCTCTAACTATAAACACTGTGAAGTCTGAGGAGTGGGAGCTTCAGAACATCCCTATGGAAGCTTAAGCCCAAACAGGCAATGTAAGTATAGCAAGCTGTTCTCTTCTTGGCAACAACATAAACATATAAATGCCATTTCAGTAGGCAAGAAAGGTCGCACCCCTTCCCTTATAAGGCCACTCAACCCAGCCTGAATTACACAGAACAGTTGCTTGACCTGTGCTTATGTTTGTGGAAAACCCTGTCTCTGTTGATCTCCCCACACTTCACAGGAGATTCCAGAAGTATTCTGTCATTTCAGGGACTCCATCTCTCCTCTGAGTTCAGGGGATGTCAGCAAGATAAAAAGTCTTCCTCTAGAAATACCAAAACTGTCTAGGTAGCTAAGCTTCCACACAAAAGGCGACTCTCACAAGGGGAAAGCAATACTCACTAAAGAAACAGCTGGTTGCTTCCATTCTACGTCCCGGTAACTATGAAGTGTGGGGAAAGATTTGGTTGAGTAATTTATGTCTGGACTTCTCTATTTTCAAAGACTGCACTAGAAGCAATTACTTATCTCTTTGGCGTGCCTTTTCCATCCTCCCTGAACAGGAGTGGGCAGGTACATCATCTACTGAACTCCCTAAAGCTCATTTCATCACTTCACAGCCACTTCTTCAACGTTGAATTCAGCAGGGGAGAAGATGGCTCAGAGAAAGCAGGGCTGTAAGGCATGAGGAAAAGAAAAAAAAAATAGGCCCTCGAAGTGTTCAGCAAACAAGCTGCATGTGGAGTGCAAAGGGCCACCTCAAGTCCACTGCTGCTGCTCCCCCTCCAACTTGTCAGTGCTGGCACATCAGTACTGTAGCACCTGTCACAGCCACTGCTTAGGTATTAAACTAAATATTTACTTATGGCAGAGAGCCAGGAGAGACTGCATGACAATCAACAGCCTCAAGGAATCTTTCCCCATGATCTCTTCCTCGCCATCAAGCTGCTGTACTTACGTGGGAAGAAGGGGGCCCAGGGCACAACACATAAGCACAGAGCTAGACAGTTAATTTGTACCTGCCCTGGAGGGGCAAGAAAACTTTTTAGCAAAAAGCCTCTGCTCTGCAAAGCCCTAGTTATTGACCTAGCATTTCCCTTCTTCCCCTCCCGCTCTATCCCAGGGAAGCTGCTGCTATTTAATAACGCTCTTCAAATTCCACCTTTCCCCTCCATTTCTGGAGTGTGCCAACATTAATAAGCCGGACAGGGCAATTGCCAGGATCCTGTCAGTCATCAGAGTAGCAGCAGGCTGCCCCAAG